AGCTTGAGGACTGGCTCTCTGAAATAAGACAGTCAGACAAAAATAAAGAAAAAATAATTAAAAGGAAGAAACCTGGCTTTCAAGAAATATGGGATTATATTAAGAAACCAGATCTACTAATCATTGGTATCCCTAAAAGAGATGGGGAGAAAGCAAACAAATTGAAAAATGTATTTCAGGATATCAGTCATGAAAACTTCCCTAACCTTGCTAGGGAGGCCAACACTTAAATTCAGGAAATGCAGAGGATCCCAGAAAGATATTACACAAAAATATCATCCCCAAGATACATAATCATCAGACTTTCCAAGGTCAAAGTGAAAGAAAGAATGCTAAAGACAGCTTCAGAGAAGGGACAGGTCACCTACAAAGGGAACCTCATCAGGTTAACCATGGAACTTTAAGCAGAAACTCTACAAGCCAGAAGAAATTGAGGGCCTATATTCAACATTCTTAAAGAAAAAAATCTCCAAGCCATGACTTTTGGATAAATAATGAAATTAAGAGAGAAATCAAGTTGCTCTTCAAAACCAATGAGAACAAAGATCAACATACCAAGAATTTCATATCCAGCCAAATTAAACTTTCTAAGCAAAGGGGAAATGAGACCCATTTCAGATAAGACATGCCACCTGGACACTTTGGGTTCCTTCTACCTTTAAGTCAACAGGCTAAGAAGGGAATTACAGTGTTGGTTGGAGTGACTGACCCGGACTATCAGGATGAAATCAGTCTACTACTCCATAATGGAGATAAGGAAGAGTATCATGGAATACAGGAGATCCATTTGGGTGTCTCTTAGTATTACCATGCCCTGCGATTCCGGTCAATGGGAAACTACAATAGCCCAATTCAGGCAGGACTACAAATGACCCAGACTCTTCAGGAATGAAGGTTTAGGTCACTCAACCAGGAAAAAAAAACCACGATGTGCTGAGGTACTTGCTGGAGGCAAAGGGAATACAGAATGGGCAGTAGAAGAAGGTAGTCATAAATTCCAGATATATATATATATATCTCCCACTAATTCTGTACTTCTAAACAACCCTAATATACCAACATTCACCAAACGTGTGGTTTTAGCTATAGGTTGGTGCAAAAGTAATTGCGGTTTTTGCCATTTAATGATAAAAACCGCAATTACTTTTGTACCAACCTAATTTAGGAGTCATCCTTGATTACTCTTTCCCTCATTTACCTAAATGCAATAGCAAGTGCTGTAACATGAATGGAAAATTTCTGCTTTTCTTCCTCTCCACTGCCACTGCCTCTGTAATGCAGATCAATAGAATCTTTCCCTCGAACTACCCCCAAAACCTCCTAACCAGTTTCCCTTCTCTGAAATTCCTCCTCCACACAGCATCCAGAGCAATCTTTTAAAAACAATGGTTTTTCCTTGCTTCGAATTTTCCCTACACCTCATCACAATTAAATTTAAACTTCATAACTTGGTCTATAAAGGCCTACATGATCTGGATGATCTGATCCCTGCCCCCACAACCCTCATCCCTTGCTGAGGCCTTCTTTTTATTCCTTTAACTTGCCTTTAACATGCTGTGGTAGGCAGAATAATGGTCCCCAAAGATCTCTACATTCTAATCCCCAGTACCTGTTAATATCCTACTTTACATAGCAAAAGGGACTCTGTAGATTTGATTAAGTCAAGGCTCTTGAGATAGGGAGGTTATCCTGGAGTAGCTGGATACGATCGCAGTGTACCCAAGTATATTCACTTCCTAGGGATGCTGCAGCAAAGTACAAAAAACTAGAGAGGTTAAAACAACAGAAATTTGTTGTTTCACAGTTCTGGAAGCTACAAGTGCAAAGTCAAGGTAATGGCAAGACTGTGCTGTTTTTGATGGCTCTAAAGGGAAAATCCTTTCTTGCCTCTTCTAGCTTCTGCTGTTTGCTGCCAATCGGCGGCTCTCTTTGGCTTGTAGATGCCTCACTCCAGTCACGTGGCCACCTTCCCCACTGTGTATTTTCATTGTCTTGCTACTTACTATGTGTGTTCTTGTGTCTAAGTTTCTTTCTTTTTTTTTTTGAGATGGAGTTTCACGCTTGTTGCCCAGACTGCAGTGCAATAGCATGATCTCGGCTCACCACAACCTCTGCCTCCCAGGTTCAAGCAATTCTCCTGCTTCAGCCTCCAGAGTAGCTGGGATTACAGGCATGTGCCACCACACCATTAATTTTGTATTTTTAATAGAGACGGGGTTTCTCCATGTTGGTCTGGCTAGTCTTGAACTCCTGACCTCAGGTGATCCACCCACCTCATCACCCAAAGCATTGGGATTACAGGCGTGAGTCACTGCGCCCAGCCAAGTTTCCTCCTTTTTAGGGATACCAGTCAGATTAGGACTTACCCTAATGACCTCATTTTAATTTGATAACCTGTTAAGACCTTATTTCCAAATAAAGGTCATCTTCCGAGGTAGTAGGGACTAAGACTTCAACATATTTTTTCTGAGAAACACAATTCAGCCCATAACACCAATGTCATCAGAAGGGTCTTTATAAGTCAAAGAGAGAGGCAGGAGAGTCACTGTCAGAGTGATTCCTCCCAGGAAAGACTTGATGGGCCACTACTACAAAGATGGAAGAGCAGGGAGCCAAGGAATAGAGGTAGCCTTAGAAAATGGAAAAGGAAAGGCAATTCTTCCCTAGAACCTCCAGAAAAGCATGCAGCCCTACCAACTTGTTGATTTTAGTCCAGTAACACCCATTTAGGACTTGTGAGTTCCTGAATTGTAAGATAATAAAGTTGTGTTGTTTTAAGCCAGTAAGTTTGTAGTTATTTGTTACAGTAGGGATAGGAAGCTAATACACATGCCAAGATAATTAATTCCTGCCTTACAGCATTTATGTGGATTGTTCATGAAGAATTTCCTCTGTCTAAAGTGCTCATCTCCCAAATATAAGCATGGTGGGCTTTTCTATATGATTTGAGTCTGCTTAAATCACATCCCTTCAGAGAGGCCTAGTGTTAAAGATTATCTGTGCCCCTTTCCCAAAATTCACATCTCGAAACCCTAACCACAGATATAATAGTATTTGGAGATAGGGCTCTTGGGAGGTAATTAGTCTTATTATGGGATTAGCTACCTTCAAAGAAGATACACAAGAGCTTGCTGTCTCTCTTTGCTCTCTCCTATGTAGGCATACAGCAAGAAGAGAGCCATGTGCAAACCAGGAAGTGGACCCTCACCAGTCAGGGATCTGTCTGTACCTTGATCTTGGGCTTCTCAACCTCCATAATTATGAGAAATGTTTCTTTTCTAAACTACTCAGTCTTTGGTAACTTGTGATTGCAACCCAAACTAAGGCACTTTCCCTGACTTCAGTTAAAGTAGTCCCTTGTTACTCTGTCACATGACCTTGCTTTGTATTCGTCATGACACTTGTCACTTCTTGCCATCTTTTTCTTTATGTTATTATTAGAACACACAAGCAAAGCTGAAACTTTGTCTCTTCTATTTCCTTATAACCCCACTACTTAGACTAGTGACTACTACATAGCAGGAGCTCAATATTTGCTGAATAAATGAATGAGTGAACATTTATTTCATGCAAGATAATGGATGTATACTATTCCATTTAATCTTTTCATCAGCCCAATGTGACAGAATTCCTATCACCATTTTATTGAACATAAACTCTGTGAGAGCAGGCATAGGTGTACCTGTACCTTTTTGGTAACATTAACCATTCATACATATAATGAATAAGTAAATGAACCACATTCAAAGAAATCAAGTAGCTAGTGTAAGTAACAAAGTTTAGAAAATAGCTATCTACTACATTAATGCCTACGGCTTCCATAATTTGTTGTTGAAGAATCCCAGAGCTATAGTTTGAGCCAACTCCATTCTCATGAGATCAAACTCCCATTTTGCCTGCATTCTGGACAGCTCTACTGACACACTCCAGTCATCCCTGAATTCCAGACATACAAAACTGAAGTTTAAATCTATGCCCCAAATTTACTTTGTAGATTTGTTGGCTAAAACAAGGGCACTGGTATCTATCTGCCAAACAAGTTCCTGGGAGTCATTTTCTACTTCCTTTCTATTCCTCTACAGATGACTGGTAGTTTATTTTTCCTGTTTAATAGTTTTTATACTAATTTCCTTTTCCAGCTCCACTGACATAGTCACTTCCCAAACTATTTGTCCAGACATTGCTTCTAAGACAATCCCTTCAGCAAGACCAAGCATGACACTTGCTAGCTTAAAATCCTTCTGTGACTTTCTACAGTCTTTAATAGAAACTAAATCCTTTACTGCAACATGAGAGGTCTCACATAGTCTGCACCCTACCCAGGTTTTCATCTTTCTCCTATCACTCTCCCCTCACTGACTGGTCTAGTTACACTGGTTTTTAAATTCCATGAAGTGTCAAGTTCATCCTTGCCTGAGCAACCCACATGTTGTTCACTCTTCAGATCTCGGGGATGCCTGTTTTCTCCAATCTAACCTATTCTCAACATCCTGCCATTTTCCTTCCATAAAGCACAAGTTGTTTGCATGTTTCCTGAACCAGATTATAAGCTCCATGAAAGTTTTGTATCTTTTTGGCTCTCCATTGAATGCTCAGTATCTGACACATGCCTGGCATAAAGTAAAGGGTATATTACATATGTTTTCAATAAACAAATTTAATATTTATTGAGTAAGCAAAGTTTATTGTGTGTCTTTTAAAGAACTTTGCTTTTATGTGTCCATTTTGGTTGGGATGGTGTCTGATCAAGGGGCAGAGGTAAAGAAAAAGAAAACTAAGGTGAGAAGCAGTGGAAAGAAAAAGAAATAACAGAAAAAATGAGTGAGATGGAAGAGTGAATGAAGAGAGTATTGGAAGAAAGAGAAGGCAGAGATGGGTCTTATAGTGGGGTTAATGGTGGCCACATCAAAGACAAATTCACATCAAAACTCTGGAAGCTGTGAATGCTGCTGTATTCATTTCTCCAAGCTACTATAACAAAGTACTGCAAATTGAATGGCTTAGGATAACCACCATTTATTTTCTCCTAGTTCAGAAGACTAGAAGTCTAAAATCAAGGTGTCAGCGGGGTTTGTTTCTTCTAGAAGCACTGAGAGAAAAAAAATCTGTTCCATGCCTCTCTTCTAGCTTCTGGTGGTTGCTGGAAATCCTTGGCATTCTTTGGCTTGCTGACACATCACTCTAACTTCTGCTTCCATCTTCACATGGGGTCTCCTCTGTCTCTCCTGTGCCTTTACATGACATTCCTATAAGGATACCAGTCACTGGATTTAGGATCCACTTTAATCCAGCATAACCTCATTATTAACTAAGACCTGATTGTTAACTAAGCAAAGACCTGATTGTCTGTTAGCAAAGACCTGATTGTCAACTAAGGTCCAATTCTGATGTTCCAGAATTGAGAGACACTATTCAACAGAGTATAGTTACCTAATTTGGAAAAGCATATATGCAGATGTACAGGTCCCCTCTTAAGTTTCGCTGTCCATGATGCAGTTACCTGTATCAAACACAATCGGAAATTATTAAATGGAAAATTGCAGAAATAAACAATTCATGAGTTTTAGGTTGTGAGCTGTTCTGAGTAGTGTGATAAAATCTTGCACTGTCCAGGACATGAATCCTTCCTTTGTTCAGCATATCCACACTGTAGACACTAACTGCCCTTAGTCACTTAGTAGCCATCTTGGTTATCAGATACTGTTGTGGTATCACACTGCTTGTGTTCAAGTATCCTATTTTTTAAAAAATTAATTGCTCTATTTTATTAGTCACATGCTGCATACGATGTTTTGGTCAAGACAGTGCACCTATAAGACTATAATGAAGCTGCTGGGTGTGGTGGTATGTGCCTGTGGTCTTAGCTACTTTGGATGCCGAGGCAGGATCATTTGTGCCCAGGAGTTCAAGGTTGTAGTAAGCTATGATCACACCACTGCATTCAGGGTCTGGGTGACAGAGTGAGACCGGCTCTCAAAAAAAAAAAAAAAAGAAAGAAAGAAAAAAAGACTATAACGAAGCTGAAAAATTCCTATTATCTAGTGAAAACACAGTCATTGCAATGTCATAATACAACACATTTTTTATGCAAACTTATGATGAAAGAATAAACCATGCTTTTCTCAGAATGTAACCTTGTGGTTAAGTGATACCTGACTATATTATTTACTGTTCATCTCTTACTGTGCCTAATATATAAACTAAAAATTATCATAGGAATGTATGTATAAGAGAAAATACCATAACATATATGGGTAAGGTTCAGTACAACCAACAGTTTCAGGTATCTACCTAGGGTTCTTGGAATATATCCTTCCAGGATACATAGTCTCCCTTTATCCTGAAGGATATGTTCCCCGCTTATCCTAGAAGGATATATGATTGAGTTAAGGATCTTGAGAGATCATTGTGGATTATCTGGGTAGGCCCTAAATTCAAGACCAGCCTGACTAACGTGGAGAAACTCTGTTTCTACTCAAAATACAAAGACAGGAGTGGTGGTGCATGCCTGTAATCCCAGCCACTCGGGAGGCTGAGGCAGGAGAATCCCTTGAACCTGGCAGGCAGAGGTTGCAGTGAGCCAAGATGGCGCCATTGCACTCCAGCCTGGGAAACGAGCGAAACTCAGTCTCAAACAAACAAAAAGATACACGGAAGAAGTGGGTTGTGAAGATAGTTGCAGAGACTAGAATAATGTGGCCACTAGGAGAATATGATGTGAAAACAGAGGCAGAGATTGGAGCATTGTAGCTACATGCCAAGGAAGGCACCACCAGAAAGTAGGAAAGGCAAGGCAAGATTTTCCCCTAGAGCCTTCAGAGGGAGTGTGGCCTTGCCAAAATCTTGAGTTTGGACTTCTGTCCTCCAGAACTGTGAGATAATACATTTCGGTTGTTTGAAGGCATCCAATTTCGAGTATATGTTTCAGCAGCCACAGCAAACAAATACAGGCCTTAACAGAATAGAACTCATGGCACACCATTTTTTTCTCTAAGTACCATTAAAAACAAAACAAAAAACAAATCTCTGAGTTAGATTCTGCTCTAAACAGATCAAAGAGGTCTTAGTAAATAATTTGTGAACAGCTATAAAGTTAAAACAGCTCAATTTCTGTAAAGTTAATGTTTAATGATGTTTTAACACAAAACTATCCCTTCAATGACTGAGACGTATGAGTCTTTAACCTACTAAGAATTTATTATAAGAAAATAATTGTGTTGTAAACTATCTTTCATTTATCTTCACTTATCTTCTGAATGCCTGACAATTAACATCAAATTTTATCATATTTCATGTGCCTCTCTCATTTCAGAGTAAACTGTTTAATGTCATCTATGTCTCCCTGTTAAGTTCTTTTTATCTTGAAATTAATTTTTTTTCATGTTGCCTGATGTATAATTAGATGACACTTGGTACTATGTAACCTACAACTGGGAGCACAACTGCTTGAAGTGGCTTAGTTTCTGGAAGTCGTGCCATCAAGATAAAGCTAAATTTAATAAAGGAAATGACACGACACTTGTCTTTCCAGCTTTGAATACATTCAGAATTAAAGTCTGGCATCACAAAACAATCTCTTCCAAACCTTAAGTTCCATTTTTAACCATTTAACTGGAAGATGCCAGGTTATTTCAAAATATCACATACTGTTTTCTTTCATTCTTCATTTGGATGAATGATACAGGAGAGTTCATGCTCTTGCAGGGTCCATTCATCAACAGCAGCTGTAAAGTTAAAACAGCTCAATTTCTGTAAACCACTAATGTCACTGGTTGCTACAAGACATTTCATGGAAGAAACTGGAGGATAGAATTAGCACTCGTGACAATGGATGGCTGAACTCCCCAACTTCTCAGACTCCACCCGCCACCACTTCTGCTTTGGAATCCCCGCCCCTCTTCCCAGAGTTTTACTGTGGCTTGCGTAGATCAGCCCTGGGGTCCAGGGAGAGCGGGCACTAGCCAGCCCTGGCGCTTGACAAAGTAGACCCCACTCCGCCCGCTGGTAGCTTAGCTGGTGGTCAGAAGACTTGAGCTCTCACTCTCCGCCTGCAAAAGCAGATTTGCCCAGATCCCCGCAGTCCTCCCCAGTCCCGGGACAGGTGTGGGCGGCGGAGGGAAGGGGATCTGGGCCAAACGCCCACCCGCAGGCTAGCGACCTGGCAAGGTCCGGCCCATTTTCCTTGGGTTGCAGCGGACTCCAGAATGCTGGGGTCCTGCGAACGTGAGCGTCTGCCCGGCGCCGGATTTACACTCCACAACCAGGGCTAAAGCTTCCCGCCCACCAGCGAGCCACTTTCCAGGACGGACGCGTCTAACTCTTGCTGCCTGGGTAGGGAACTCGGTTACCCAGAGTGGCCTCCCCTCCCCCGCGCAGACGTCAGCGCTGGCGTCGGGGAAGCGCCATAATGCTCCGAGGAAGCGCGCCTCAAAACTTGCACCTCGCAGCCGCAGCTTCAACGGAGAAATCCCTTACCCCAAGCACACGCCAGTCCTGCCCGCGGGGCCATGGCAGAACAAAAGAGAGGCTTTCCATGGAGATATGCTCCAGAAGCGTGGGTGGCTGTGCCTAAAGGTTCCCTGGAGAGGGATAATCAATGAGGCTTGGAGGCTGTGGCGCCTAAGACGCTCTCCCCACTCCACATCATTCAGAAGGTTCCGCAGGTCCCGGCAGCGGTGAGTTTGTCAGTCCCATCCGGCGGCCAGTCTCCCTTGCCAGATAGCCTACGTTCGTCGGCCTCGTCAAAGTTCTTCGTTTCAAAGCATTTGCACCTGCGAGCCCTCGGCCGAGGCTCTGGGTGCGTTTGTGCGCGTGTATTCGAAGGCGCGTGGTAGTGATGGCGGCGCTCAGTGAGACTTTCCTGTCACTGGATACTACTACTCCCAACCTTCCTCAAAGCTGCTGGAGCAACCCCCAGGTCTTTAGTTTACAAGTGGCAATTTGACTTGCTCTGCTGCATGTCTGGAGGGACCAAGGAAAGTGTGGAGACGCTCCAGGGATTAGGTGATCGCAGCTTGAAAAGAAAAAAAGCCAAACAAATAAACAAAACCCACCCACCCTAACAAATATGAGGCTGCTGGAGAGAATGAGGAAAGACTGGTTCATGATCGGAATAGTGTTGGCGATCGCCGGAGCTAAACTGGAGCCGTCCATAGGGGTAAATGGGGGTAAGTGCAGCACCTCTGCGTGCTCCACCGCGGCTCCCACTTCAGAAGTAATTTGTGAGTCTTGGAAAGGTTGGACAACCGTCGTTGCAAGCGCTTGCCAGTCTCAGGGGCACTGACCAGCCTTTGGCCCTTTTGCTGATTTTCTAATTTACCAACCCCAGAGGGAACTTGTAATTAGGAAGGGGGCAAAGGAATTGAGCGCAGGTAGTCTTTTCCGCAGACAATGACTATTCTCAGTGTCAAGAAGTGAGGTTACAGAGAATGAAATTTACTCCTCTTACCTTCAGAGTAGCATCCTATCCCAAGGGACTCTAGGTTGCCAAGAGTTCCTTATCTATCTTGAAGTGGACCTCATTATCCAGTTTACTTTCTAGTCCTCCCCGCCCCCACATTAAAAAAAAAAAAGTGGAGGAAAACAAGGAAAAGGGACACCTCCGCCCCCAACTCAGATTTTATGGCCCACATGTTGGAGAGTGATGATTTGCTGTAGTTCCTGGCGCTCCAGAAACTCCCTAGCCGACTGACACGTTGCACTCTTTCATTACAAGGCACTACTTCCGTGTGCTGCCGGGATTCAGTTGCTGTACTAGCAGTCTAACAGATACAGACTGTGCTAGACGATGTGTAGTGTAGTGTGTATTTTGGCAAGGAAATGTGGATGGACTGAAAGCATACTTAAATCTCTGAATAGTGGGAGCTTTGTACTGGGGGTGATGGGTAATGACGGGAACATTAGAAATACTAGTTTTTTATGCCCACCCCCCACTCCTTTAGACAATCTTTAAACATTAATTGAATTTAATTGAATTTATTCAGTGCGATTGTTTTTGACCTTGTTTGTCAGTTTCCAAGCTTATTGACAGGTTTAATACCTAAGTCATACAACCCGAGCAAATAAGGACAGAGCTGAACAGGCACAATCTTTTCATAGTAGGAATTTCTCAGGAGGATATTTGAAGTTATTGGTATCTTTTGCTAAAACATGATGGAAGTGAATGAAATGATCTCTCAGGAGAACAGTAGTGGTCCCTTCTCCCCTTAACCTCCACCGGATTCCTCTGTTTACAAGTAGCTTCCGGGAACATTTTAAAAGGAGTTATTTAAACTAAAATTGTGGAGTTCAAGGCTTTTTTGTTTATTTTAAAATTTTGTTCTTCTGTATTTAACTTAGAACAAGATGTGTAGAATATGATACCATAAGAATAAAGCAGTTATTCCTGGTGGTTTCTCCCTCTGAGGGTAACAGTTTCTTGTTTAACAAGGCTACTCTGTGAACTTTTGGGAAACTCTTGTGAAGCTCAGGTCTGTCAAATGAAGACCCCGCCCCCATCCCTGGAGCTAAATAAATAGCAAGACCTAGAGTACCTTTGCATGATCTGCAAGGCACTCCTCATAGCTATAGCTTCTGGTGTTAGATCTCTTGTTTTCTCAGTTTTGAGGTGAAATTCCAGATGATGTATGATCTTTAGCTTTAATCTCCAGGGGCTAAGTTTGGCGAAATATCTTTTACTTTACATTCCCAAGAACTCTGTGGGAAGAAAGGTTTTGAATGCTGAATCATTTCTGTGGGGCTTTTCTGCCATGGCATGTATGAGATAGATTATGCAAGCTTATTTTATCCATAGACTCTGCTTATTAACATTTTGGTACATAATTGTATCATAGAAATGCCGTTTCCCATTTTCACTAGTCCTTGTGTCTTTAATGTAGGATAATTCATTCCTTTTTAAAATTACAATTGAATACTAAGAGTGGGGAGGGAACATTTAAAGTGTTTTAAGCCAACTTGCTTCTTTTACAGTTGAATATACTGAGGCTTGATGCCAGGTGACTCACTTTATATTAAGGTGGCTAGCTTAGGGAAGAGGAACTATTTGAGATGAAGACTCCCCCTTATTTCACACCAGTTGCAAAATCTATACTAATGGTTCTGGCAAAAAAAATTATTAAAATGAATAACCAATATAAGGAAAGACTGAATTTTGCATGCCCTGCTTTTTAATGCAAAGGAGCAGAGTAAATTCAGTTACTATTAAACAGTGCACTCATGATTTCTTTAATAGTTGTTCATATGGAAAAGATACTTTTTCTAAAAACATAAGTTAAACAAACAATTGTTTGGGATTTCCTTTACAGCTTATCTGGCTAAGTCATTGATACTTCTGGTTTTGTTTGAGATGGGGTCTCCCTTAGTCACCCAGGCTGGAGTACAGCGGTGAGATCATGGCTCACTGCCATTTCAGCATCCTGGGTCCAAGCAATTCTCCCAGTTCAGCCTCTTGAGTAGCTGGGACCACAGCCATGTGCCACCACACCCAATAATTTTTTTTATTTTTTGTAGCGATGGGGGTCTCCCTATGTTGCCCAGGCTGGTCTGAACTCAAGCCACTGTTGAGCTTTTAATGGATTTTCCCACTTGTAAAGCCTCCTAAGTAAAAACAAACCCCCAAATAATACCAAATGACCCTCTCATGCCACTAGGTAAAATAACAAAAATCTAGGAATAAGGAGAGGAATGGCTGCTGAAAGTGTTTTTGTCATGTCCTGGTCTTTGGAATGGTCTAAAACACCTTTTTTGGCTTATAACTTTTAGTGAAAAAGCTCCATTTATGGCCTTTGTACACTGAAAATCTGATTTTTAATGCATTCATATTGACTGGACAATTTTCAATTAAACAGTCTTTAGATATACTTTTAAATAGGAAAAGTTTGCTATTAAGATGCTCACGTCACCTTTACCTGGATTGATACCTTAATGACTACAGTCTACTTTTAAGTGTAAGACTTCTAAACTTAAATTATCACACATATGTATGGTCTGACTCCTCTCCAACCGCCCCCCTAAATTTTTACAGTCAGTTGGTGAGTTAGTATGGCAGAAAATTTATAGATGTGCGAACCTTAAAATTAGAGAAGTTGAATGCCTTTCCAAATGGGTAGTGGCATAACTAGCTTGGATAATTGAATTCTTAGCTCTTGTTCTTACTCAGTTATATTTTATTTTTAAATATATACAGAAGTTTGAAAATAAAAAGTTATAGTAGATGTAAATATGTAGATTCTGAGGTGTTGATGATCTGTTCCAGTGTGGCCTAAGGAAGCCCTGAGCTAGTGTACACCATAGAGTTTATGGGAATTCAACACTGTGCTATTCATTCTTGGGAAGACAAATGTTTACTTCTTTGGAAGTACAGAGTAAGTTTCTCATTTCTACCTGCATCTTAATTTATTACCATTTATAAGACACTAATCCTAAAAAGGAAACTGCTTCAGTTTTCCGTTAAAAAACATAACCGGAAACATGCTATAAGCTTAAGTATATTACCATGAATATCTTAGAAGATCTTAGATTAGGTTTGGAAGTGAAATTTACTTTAGTGGTGAATGGCTCCATATATATATATGGTTTTCTGTCCATTTATTGAGCAAATGGAAGGCTTCAGACCATGGAGAAGCCATGATTGTTGTCCTGTTGTTTTGCTTAAGGGGGTGTATTAGTTTCTTAGGGCTGCCACAACAAATTACCATGAACCAGGTAATTTATTCTCTCACAGTTCTAGAGGCCAGAAGTCTGAGGTCAAGATGTCCTCCAAAGGACACTGGGAAAGAATCCTTCTTTGCATATTCCAGCTTGTGGTGGTTGCCAGCCATTCCTTGGCTTGTGGCACTATATGTTCAGTGTCCACCTTTGTCATCACATGGCTGTCTTCCCTGCGCATCTGTCTGTGTCCAAATTTCCATCTTTTAAGAATAGGCTATTGGATTAATGACCTTCCTAATCCAGTAAGTCTGCATCTTAAGTTGATTACATGTGCAAAGACCTTATTTCCAAAACTGTCACATTCACAGGTTCTGGGTGAGCATGGATTTTGGGAATGGGGAACACTACTCAATGTAGTACAAGAGGACTGAATAGAATGCCAAATATTAGATGATCTGAGATTTTTGAATGTTGCCATATACCAGGATTTCTCAGCCTTGGCATGTTGACATTTTGAACATGATAATTTTTGTTGTTGGAGGGGCTGTTCTATGTCTTCTAAGATGTTTAATAGAATTCTTGATCTCTACTCACTAGATGTTAGTAGTATACCCTATCCCCCAAGTTATGACAACCAAAAAACATTTCTGACATTGCCATATGTCCATGGAGGGCAAGATTGCCACTGCTGGAGAACCATTCGTATGCAGGTATAATATGTCATTTTCTCAGGACTGAATCTTTTTAAAGAATTTTGTTCTTTGTTAGCACTTAGGTCTTCAAGACAATTGTGTACAGTCACAAATGATACTTAAATCAACTCACAAATGATACTTTTAACTATTGTTCTCACAGTGTTAACACATTTGAATGCTGCCAACCTAACTCGGAAGAGGATTTCCTGGAAGGCAGGGACCAGGCCAGGCTGGGTCACCACGTATCTCTGGGGCCTAGCACAATTTAATAATAATGATGGGCATGGGAATATATTAATAAGTACTTTATATGCATTATTATTCACATAGCGAGTGCTCAGTAAGTATTTGTATGATGAATACTCTTGGGCAGAACTGAATGCATGCATGATTACAAGCCTTTGTTTCTGGTATCCTAGAAGAAATGAAATATTTGCTAAAGAGAAGGGGACTTCCTCAGTTGATTCTCTTCTCTGGGCTCGGGGATATTTTGATTGTTATATAAGTGCTGATACCATGATAGAGAGAGTTAGGACCTATATTGAAGGATGTTGCTCACGTGCTGTCCTGTGTGCTTCTTTATTCTTCTGGTCTGAGGATACTGAGCTGAACCAGACAGCTATGGTCCTTGCCCTCTGGAAAATGCTCTTTGAAGTTAGGCTGCATCACACAAATGCTACTTCTGTCGGGACAGTAGGATACTAGGGGTGACACTGATATCTAAAGTACCATTTGTTCTGCAGTAGATGATGATGATGATGATGATGATGATGATGATGATTTTGAGACAGAGTTTCACTTTGTTGCCCAGGCTGGAGTGCAATGGTGTGATCTAGGCTCACTGCAACCTCTACATCCTGGGCTCAGGTAATCCTCCTACTCAGTCTCTCAAGGAGCTGGGATTACAGGCATGCACCACTGTGCCTGGCTAATTTTTGTATTTTTAGTAGAGACTGGGTTTTGTCATGTTGGCCAGGCTGGTCTTGAACTCCTGGCCTCAAGTGATTGACTCACCTCGGCCTCCCAAATGGCTGGGATTACAGGCATGAACAAATAGAGTCTTCTTTTGTGCCAAGTTATCTATTGAACTTCTTTTCTAACAAAAACTCATTTTTTTTTTTCTTTTTAGGACCATTGAAGCCAGAAATAACTGTATCCTACATTGCTGTTGCAACAATATTCTTTAACAGTGGACTATCATTGAAAACAGAGGTACTGTCACCTATGGGACACATGAAAAGCAGGGAGAAAAATTTAATTTTGAACTTAACCTGAAATTGCAGAATCCTTTGGTAATGCAATTTGTAGCTATAATCTGAAGGATTTGCTATAGCAGGAGATAACTTGGTCAGCAAAGAACTTGTGTTTCTTTCCTGCATAAGTGTATTATAAAAACTGTACAGTTGTGCAGCATGGACCCTGAGGATGTGGTTATAATGCGTATGTTCTTAATATGGCAGCTGAACTGAAGTATCTACTTTAGTTCTTCCTCAACTTATGGTGGTAACTACAGTGGTGCCTGCTATGCCTGGGCACATTTGAGCTGTTGATGTTTAGTTTGGTTTCCATACTTCTGTGGATCATCTTTGGCTCCTAGGACTCATGCTGTTCAAATAATGCTTAATTTGTCATAACTTTTAACTAATTTTTATTTAGAAAAGTTTATTGTTCCTTAGCATATCTATTAAATATTAATAGATGTCTTAAGAGAAATATTTCATTTGACATATATATGTATATGTGTGTGTATGTATGTGTATATATATGTGTGTATATATATACACACACAGACTCATGTATATGTATGTGTGCATATATGTGTATATGTGTGTGTATATATACACAGACTCATATGTATGTGTGTGCATATATGTGTATATGTGTGTATATATGTATATGTGTATATATACACACATATATGCACACAGACTCATATGTATGTGTGTGCATATATGTGTATATGTGTGTATATACATACACATACACGCACACACATAAACATATACATATATACACACATATATACACATATACACACATACATATATACATAGATACACATATACATACATATACACATAGATACATATATACACACACATATACACATATATGCACACACATATATACACACATATACATATGAGTCTGTGTGTGTGTGTATATATATACAGATTCACACACACACACACACACACTACACCACACCCATATATGTGTAGTGTTATTTACTGATTCAGGTTTCACTGAACATGGGATTCTCTTAGAAGTAAAGAAATCCAGACATTTTTACATTTACATGTGAGAGAGGAATGAGTAGAATTTATGATTCTCTTTTGACTTACAATGAAAGGAAAAAAAGTGGAGAAAATAACCATTTGCTCTTGAAGAAATTACATAAAACTATCATTCTAACATCCTGTTCTTATGTAGATGGGAATACCTCACTATAAGTAAGTTTTTTGTTTTTGGAAATGGCTTTAAAAATTAAAATTCTGGTCCAGCATCGTGTCTCACCTTTATTTATTTTAAGAGTGATTTGAATGAAGACTAAATTTAGTTATCTCCTTCTTAGATCACCCTGGTAGCAACGTGGAATAAAACATGACTTTACTAAATTTATGTATTCTGTAGCCATCAGGTTGAGGTTGGTATAAATCTTTTTATTGTTTTTTTTGAGACAAAGTCTTGCTCTGTCACTCAGGCTGGAGTGTGGTAGCACGATCTCAGCTCACTGCATCCTCTGCCTCCTGGCTTCAAGTGATTCTTCTGCCTCAGTTTCCCAAGTAGCTGGGACTACAGGTGCCCACCACCATGCCCAGCTAATTTTTGTATTTTTAGTAGAGGCTGGATGTCACTACATTGGCCAGGCTGATTTTGAACTCCTAACCTCAAATGATCTACCCATTTTGGCCTCCCAAAGTGTTGGGATTACAGGTGTAAGCCACCACGCCCTGCCTCATTGGGGTGTTTTTGATATACGTAGGATCATTGTGTAGTGTCTATAACTGATAAATTGTGTCTCAAGAGTTGTAAATATTTTCTCTGATTACTTGCTCTTCTGAAAATAACTGACATGGGATGAGATTTTCTAGTATGTCAAATTCCAATTTTGATAAACAATATTGATATGAGAAGACCACGATTACTATTTACAGGGCACAGGCTTTTTTTTTTTTCTGTCAATGTATGAATTCTGATATTGGTTCTCAAATGTGGGGCACAGTGATACAGAAATATATTTGCCACTACCATAGTGTTGGACTGATCTTGTTTGGAGGTCTTCTTGCAGGCTGTGGCTAGTGTTCTTGGTGGAGCAGCTTCCTAACCCAAGTCCTTTACTTGGGACGTTGCTCTAACTATGTCCCCTGGTGGCTGCTTAATGGCTACAGCTGTTACTGTGCCATGGAAAATCCAGAAAGCAACTTGATTTCTCTCACTCTTTAGCTTCTTAATGCTATTCTGTAAAGCAGCCAACTTTGTGGGATGAAGGAGTTGAAGAAGGAAGAATGTCACAGCTGTCAGTATTTTTCTGAGGACTGACTTCTTTTGTAAGCACCTAAGAAACCTTCAGAGTCATCCAGCTCATTTGGATCTAATGAAATGCCTTGATCTCTTGCTTTATCATGGTATCTAAGCAGCAATCAAAGCCATTTCTTCCATCAAAGCCCTTTTCAAATGAGTACAACATAATATCATTTTCAAAAGCCATTTAACTTAAGATGTCCTAGATTGTGCCATTGTGTAATATTAAACCACCTCTAAACCCTACTAATTTCATGTATAACTTGTAATTTAGGAGGTAGCAGTCATATTTGTTTACTAGTTAATAATCCTAAATTAATTTCAGTAGGGATTACGATTTGTGTATCTTATTAGGTCCTAAAATAGTTCATTTTTGCACACAGGAGACAGTGAGTTATTATTGACTTGGTTTATTTGAAAGCATTTATGTTGGTCCCATTCAAGTTTGATTTATATTGAATATTTCTTGTATTAATCATACATTGATTTAATGATGTGTATTCTAAAATTTGTTTTACTAATATGTCAAAATTTTAAAGGCCTCTGTGCTAATACAATGCTGAGTCTTCAGTTTTATGACTGATTTCTAGTTTTTTGAAATTTTGTTGTACTGAAGTGAAATACAGTCACGTTTAAAATTCATATTTAGTTCACTTCAAACCTATAGTTTGGGAGGATTTGTTACTTAACCAACTGTGGCAGGGTGAATTCGTTTAAAAAAATACCAATTAAGTGCCTGTGGCTATAAGGCACTGTGCTGGGGATAGAAACAAAGGTTAGCAGGAGACTCAGAGACTGAAAACGGGTCCTGAGTAGGGCAGAAGATGCAGGTTTTTCTTTGTTTTTCAAAGAAATTATTATTTTTTATCCTATTAGCAAATTATTAATTACAATTACAAATTATTATTTTTTATCCTGTTAGCAGAAAAGCAAATATAGCAAACTCTAAACTTCATATTCATGCTGTTTGTTTCAAGCCCACAGCTATGAGCCTGACTCTCAGCAAATGAACGAGATGAAGGCCAGATAAATGGTTGCAAGAGAAATCGGTATCTCATGGAAATATTGTTATGTCCCAATCAGAGCCCTGTTTTAAGCAGTGCTTGATGCTGTCAATGAAACTCTGGCATAATCAGTACATGAGGTGGAGTGTCTTCTTAAGTTTATTTTAATGGATTTTGACCTATATTACATGCGAATAAACAAATTATGATGCAGAATCAACTTTTTTATTATTCATGATAGCATTTATTTGACTATGTGGCCCGAATTTTACATGGATAGTACAGAATAACAACTGTTTTGGAATTTATAGGGTTTACTTGCTTTTTCTTTTCTGTTGTTACCTTATTTTATGAAGGTAACATACCTGCAGTATGAAGAATATATGAAAAATATATGACTCTGGGATTTTGTGACAGTCTTGAAAATCTTTCTCAGAAGCACTTCCCTATTGTTAAAAGGTCCCTCGTGAGCCAACATGGTTGGTTGCGGTGGCTCGTTTTGCTGGGTTCTTTAACTATCATTCTGATGCAATGCCAATTTCTAATTGTCATTTATTAGGTCAGCAATATTTTCTAAGCACATTTTAGTTTTTATAAATTGTTTCTGTTGTAATAAAAGTGGTATTTACTTATTGTAGAAAGATTAGAAAGATTGAAAATACTTGCTGTTAACTAACACCCACTTTTTATCCTTTTTAAAATGTGTTTTATATACATAATATTTTAAAAATAAAATTGTGAATGTAAGTACATATATATATACATACTGCAGACCTATACACATATACAAATGTATTCTTACCTTACTGTTTTTGTAACATTGTATAATTTTAATATAATTTAATATTAATATTTAAATTTTCTTTATACGACAAAATGTATATTTTATTTGCCCTTATGAACATATGATTTATTCAGAATTAAAAGGTACAAAGAGATGTACAAGTCTTTTTTTTTTTTTTTGCCAATCAGTTTGAGCTTATGAGGTTGCTCAGGTTAGCCTTGAACTGATGACCTCGCCTTCGCAAGTGCCACGACCTCTGACGGGAGCCACTTTGGACTCCACAAGTCTTTTTTCACTCTTCCACCAGCTATCTAGTTCTCTTCTCTGGAGACAAACAATGTTAACAATTTCTGTGTACCTTTCCAGAGATATTCTTTGTAAAACATACAATTGCGTATTCCACACCCCTACAAATTGTATTTCAAACTGTTTGGCACCTTATCTTATTTTACTTACATTGTTTCCCCTTAACACATAAAGGACTCAATTTTTTTTTTTTTTTTTTTTTTGTACACCAAATAGTATTCTGTTGCACGGGTGTGTCCTGGTGTATTTTTGTTGTCCTCTATTGATGAACATTTAGTTAATTTACAAGATTTTGCTATTACAAACATGTTGCAAAGGATAACCTAAAATATGTTATTTCCCATATTTGGAAACATATGCAAAGGATAAATTCCTACAAGTGGAATTGCCAGGTCAAATGATATATGTAGTTTAAGTTGTAACAGATATTCCAGTACCTAGAATGATGCTAGATGCTCAGTAAGTATTAGTTAAATGAATGAATGAGTTGCCAGATTGCTCTCTGTAGGTTATACCAATTTATATACCTATTGATAATGTAGGGGAGAGATTCTGTACATCTGCATCCTCATCAACAAGGTATTTAATAACTCATAACACTCCAATTACATTTTAACTCTTTAAATGATTCTCTTATTTTTGGACATTTGTTTTCAGATTTTGCTCTAATAGATAATGCTGTGATGATCAATTTTGTGTATAAATGTTTGCAACCATTTTGTATATCCTTAGGATAAATTCCTAGTCATAAAATTCTGGGGTCTAAGAATATGAATTATATAGTCCTTGATATATGTTACCAAATTCATTTTCAGAAAAGCTATGCCAATTTTTACTCCTATCAGAAGTATATGCAGGTTGGGTGCAGTGGCTGATGCTTGTAATCCCAGCACTTTTGGAGGCCAAGGTGAGTGAATCACCTGAGGTCAGGAGTTTGAGACCAGCCTGGCCAACATGGCAAAACCCCATCTCTACTAAAAATACAAAAATTAGCCTGGCATGGTGGTGGGCACCTGTAATCCCAGCTACCTGGGAGATTGAGGCAGGAGAATCACTTGAACTCAGGAGGCGGAGGTTTCAGTGAGCCAAGATCACACCATTGCACCCCAACCTGGATGAAAAGAGGGAAATACCATCTCAAAAAGAAAAAGTATATGCAAATGCCTTAGTTTATTCTGGCTAATCATTTCATTATGGTATTTTAAAAAGTAAAAATACTAATATTTGTTTAGTGCTTATCAAATGGCTCTGAGTATATTTAAATGAGATTTGGCTTCAAGACTGTTGAGAATTCTCTGAACTACAGGTGCTCAAGTTTTCTCTGGAGTGGAGCTCTAAGAGTTCCAATTCACTGTAAGGATGGCTTGCTTTCTCTTAGGTCTGATCCCAGAACCAAATGTGACTTCTGGTAGGCTGTGTTTTCCAGTGGTCCCAAATTAGACTCAGATTACCAGAAATTCTTTAGATGTCATTTAGGGATGTCTTGTGACCTAACAGGAAGGAACTGCTTTGTTTATCTCCACACTGGGAGATAGACAGTGAAAAGTGATGAGACTAATCTCAGAATGTGGTGGAGCCAATGAGTCTGCATTAATGTACTGTTGATTAAGCTGATAAACTTTGGCTAATGTCTCTGAGGCTGAGGATCTCTTGAACGTCTTACTTGAACAAGGGGGCCATTACAGTTCTATACTTATAACCAGTGACTCTGGCATAGTTGAATATGCTTTAATGATCACTTGCTTGTTTTAAAGGAATATACTTTTTCTACTACTTTCCAATTTTGTGTTATTTTGGTTTTCCATTTTGTTTTTATTTCAACATAATATAAACTCAAATGCAAATATTTGTTAATTTATATATATATGAACCCCAGAAGTTAACTAATTATCCCTTTTTTAGTTGTCAACCTTATAACATGTGCCTGGTTTGTTACGTTTAATGTGCATTTTTACCCCATTGGGGCAGCAGTGGGAGAAACAGGCATGGGGTTGCTAGCATGCCAGAAAGGGCTTTAGTTCTGATCTTCACCATACAGTAGCTCTCAACTTCAATTTCTTCATCAGTAAAACAGGAATAATAGTATCTACTTAATGGGGTTTCTTGTGAGGATTAAGTGAGATAACATGTAAAGTGACAAGCTCAGATTATGGCATAAAGCTGGTATTCAGTTAATGTTAACCAAGAATCTAGTGAGTAGATTGTGGAAAGAAATGCCATTCTAAGTTAGAGACTATCATTGAGGGAAATATTTTTTAAAGTATTATTTGTAGATTTAGTAACATCTTGTCAAATTGAGGCCTATAGCCTTGGTGCAGTGAATAGAGTTTAATTACTGTGTTTGGTTGAAATGTGATAGGTATTATTAGTTTTTTGGAAAAAATTTATGATTTTATGTAGGTAAACATATATGTATGCTGTTCAACAATCCCCAAATCTATGCTGGTATATAGTTAGCTTAGTCCTGGTCCAGAATTTTACAAATCTGATTTGTGAGGGCATATTGTATATTTTAAAGAAACTTGAAAAAGAATATTTAAGAAATTTTATACAAAAACGCTTTATAACTATCATGAGTAACTTTTTTCTCTTGCATTCTGTCTCATATGCATATACTTATGGATAAAAATTTCAGCTATGAAAAAACTCAAAATTAAAAACTAGCTCATGTGATGTTATTTTAGTAGCGATCTCCTCTCAGGAATAGTTTTCTTACCTTTGTTTATTTTGTCTCCTTCATTTTTTCCAGGAGCTGACCAGTGCTTTGGTGCATTTAAAACTGCATCTTTTTATTCAGATCTTCACACTTGCATTCTTCCCAGCAACAATATGGCTTTTTCTTCAGCTTTTATCAATCACACCCATCAATGAATGGCTTTTAAAAGGGTATGTTTAAATCTTTAAAAGTGAGTCCACTTTTAATGGGGCATCTCTAGAGACATTGTTTCTATGGCAACTATATACAAAAGGGCTTATGTGTTATCTTAAAAGGAAGTAAAAACACATCTTTGTTTTCCTTTAAAACAATAATGTTTCATCAAGGTGGTTCATATTAACAGAATCTTAAGATATACCTTTATGCTTCATCCTAAGGTTTTAGGATGAGTACTTTCTGGAGAATTTTTAAGAATGGTCTTAGAAGAAAAATGGAAGGGACTAGCAGATGCATGTCAATTGGATAGCAATGTCATTAGATAATGGCTGAGTATAATGTGTGTTTTAGAAATACATGTAAGAAAGAAAAAAATTCATATATGTGGGATAAACATTTACATTTTATTCTGTTTTATGTTTAATATAATAGTTATTAGAACTCAGAGCCTGAAGATTGAATTCTGACCATATCCCTAATATACTACTTTGAGCAAAGTTTTAAAATAGTTTTTAATGTCAGTTTCTTTGTCTAGAAAAGGAGGATAATCATAGTTTTACTGCTTGCTTACCAATGATGTTGGGGATATCAATTGAAATTACTTATTCATTGATTCAAACTATTTATATAGCTTCTACTTTGTTTCAGGAGTTATTATAAATATTGGAGAAACAACAGAGAAATGCCAGTTAGTTTTGCTTGTTGGGGAGTCTCGGGGGTGCCGTATCAATAAACAAGTAAGTAGATGAGCAAGATAGAGATAGGTGATGTAAAAAGAGCAAAACAGTGAGGTATGTGAATGTGGTTGGGTAGGCAGGCTGGTGATTAATTTCGATTTCAGAGTTCAGGAGGTAGAATGTTCTAGAGAAAGAAAACAGAATGTACAAAGGCTGTAGGGCAGGATCAAGCCTGTTGTGTTTTTTAGTCAGTAAAGCAGCCAGGAAGGCCAGAGCCTGGTGATGTAGAAGAAAAATACCTTGTCTTAGCAGTAGAAAAGTAGGCAGGAGTGAGATATGTAGAGCCTTATAGGCCATGGTGTAGCTTTCGGATTTTATTCTGAGTGCTACAGGAAGTTATTGGAGGGACTGAAATGAGGGAGTGATGTGGTCTGCTTTATGTTTGCAAATGATTCTTCCGGTTGCTATGTGGAAAAGAGATAGTAGAGGGGCCTGAGAGAAATTAACTCAGAGAGTAGTGGTGAGGTAGCAGTTCAATAGAGAGAAATTAATGTGCGCCAGATAGATTTTAAAGTTAGAGCTTTCAGCAGTGATGGGTGGGGAGGATGTAGAAGGACAGAGGAACCAAGGGTGACTTCTGGGCTTTAGGTATGAACCACTGGGTAATTGGTAGCATCATTTACTTAAGGGGGGAAGCTAGGTAAGGAGGAATGGTGGAAATCAAGAGTGCTGTTTTGGCCAGATTTAGTTTGCAAGAATGAATATCAAATTTCATGAAGAAGTATATAATGCCACATAAATATGATAAAATCATTTTAGAGCAACAATGTATTATGCATATCAAGAACCAATAGTTACTGAATTATCTGCCATGTGTAGAGCACTCAAGGAATGCAAATATATTTACTCATTTTTATTGTCTCCTGGGAACTTCCAACCTAGTTGGTTATGTAGGATATATATATATATATATATATATATATATCTGAAACCTAGTAATCACTAAAATGGGGCACCATGTGATTTGTCGGATGAGTGGTGTGATCAGTTAAATAATAAGTAGTTCAGCAAAGGCTGGATACTTTTAGAGATTTCAAATACGAGACATTAATAGTATACAAAGATAAAACATTTCCATGGGGTCAGTTTGCAGAAGGCCTGAACTATTGAGCTGAGGGGGTTGCATTTGAAGCTATAGATGATGGAGAGAGAGCTGTTAAAAATGCTAAACAAGCAAATAACAACATGTTAAGAAGTGGCTACTAAGGAAGATGTATCGGACAGCTTGTAATCTCAATGTGCTAAATAATACAAACAATTTTGACTTGACGATGTTGAATTTAAAGGAGTATACCCTTACCCTAATTGACTTAGAGAAAGCCTTTCCTAGCTTAGTGTTTTTTCCCTTCTCCTCCCTAATTTGAAAGTGTATACTTAGTATGTTAACTAGAAGGGGTTGCAGAATCATATTTAAGTTGATGAAATAAAGATATTCTGAGCACATGCTCCTTATCTGGCATAGTAAACGGACAGAGTGAGGTAGGGAGAACATTGAACAGGCCTTTGTAAGTGTCCAGATTAGTTGAGAAGCATCTGGACAGGGATGCTGGCAATAGTCATGGAGGAGAATGGAAAGTTCGTTGTGGTGACAGATTGATTTTTGAGGAGCAAGTGGAGTCACGTATAACTTCAAAGTTTCAAACTGGATTATTATGAAAAAAATGGTCCCATTGACCAAAAAATATGTAAATTCAGAGGGGAAGTTTATTTTTAGAAAATATATGAATTATTCTGGAGATCTGTTGTACAGCATGGTGACTAGAGTTAATAACATAAACTAGAAAATTGCTAAGAGAGTAGATATATACATTAATTTGTTGGATTGTGGTAATAATTTCACAGGATATATATATATATATATATATATATATATGTCAAAACATCATGTTATATGCCATAAATTTATACAATATTTGCTTGTCAATTATATCTCAATAAACTTGGAAAACAAATATAAATACAATATTAGACATGCTTAGTTTAAGGTGGCAGTCATAGGCAGCTACAAATTTGGGAACTGTAGTTAGGGCTAAAAAATATAAACTTGAAAGTATTCCTACAGATTGAAAATAAGATTGAAAAGATGTCAGGAGAGGCAACAAAAACAAACAAACAAAAAAACCCACCACCACCCACCACCACCAACAAACAACGCAGAGTGGGCTGGTTTAAAAGACAGAAGCTAAATATTAAAGTGCTCTGAGAAGTAAGAATGTAAGCAGAATGAATATGGGGAAAAAGAGGCCAGATTTGGTGATTTGCAGATTCCTGGTTACTTTAAGGTTACTATTACTAGTAGAGGGGGCAGAAGTCTCATTTCAGAGAAGTAAAAAGAGAACGATCAGTGGGGCCATGGAGGCAGGTACTTTTTAAAGGTCAAAAATGAGTCACAGTGAGAAAAGTAGGTGTATCCTGAGGAGGTGGCACCACTCATTTTGCTATTAGTTATCTCCATTTGTGTATTGACTCTTCTGGCTCCTTGAAGGCAGGAATAGTGTTTTTACTTCTTTCTTATAATTCCTTCCTGTAGGATTTTACCCATAGAAGATATATGTATTCAACATATAGTTGGCAAATTTTTGTCTTTTTCTTTTTGAGATGGCATCTTGCTCTGTTGCCGAGCTGGAATGCAGTGGTGTGATCTTGGCTCACTGCAACCTCCGCCTCCTGGGTTCAAGCAAAATTTTTGTCTTTTTAAAGATATGAGAATTTTGCTTTTTTGTACATAGAAGGGAAGGGGCCAGAAGAGGAGGGATGAAAAAGCTAGAAAAATTGAAAATGCCTGAGAGCATCTGTCCTAGTATTGGGAGTAGGGGAGATAGAGAGACTGAAGTGAGAGGCCTAGGTAAGTCTTTGACCCATGAAAGTTTTACCCCAGATAGGTGGCTTTGTGAGTTACTTTTCATTCTTCACTTCAGTTTTCAGTAAGATGGGAATTATAATAACATTTATCTTAAATATAACTTTTGAGGAATAAATGAGATAGTATGTACAGTGTTTCATGTCTACTACAAATGGAAGATGCTCAGTATTAGTGATGATGATAGTGGACTCTAAGGAAGGCTCAGAGATTATGAATTTATAATGGGACAGACCTCTCTAGTAGCTTTTGGAGAAATAGACCTGGAAAGAAGACCATATTGAGTGGAATTGACCTGGAAATTGCATAAAATGTATTTTCTTATGCTTCAATTAAAATGAGTTTAAACATTTTTATTTTTTTTCCTGTTTCAGAGCTGATGTAAATCCATCGCATAAAGTTTAGATAATATATTCTTACAAAAATGAGTAAAAATATGAGTAAAATGAGTTAAAAAAAAAAAAAGAGTTGACCCTTGAACATTGTAGGACTTAGAGGTGCCAACACCCATGCAGTTGAAAATCCACATATAACTTTTGATTACCCCAAAACTTAACTATAAGCCTGTGGACTGGAAGCCTTACCTGTAACATAAAGAGTTGATTAACATATATTTTATATACTACATATTATATTCTTACAATTAAGCTAGAGAAAAGAAACCTATTAAAATTATAAGGAAGAAAAATATATTTTAAGTGCAAATGGATCATTAAGTAGGTTTTCATTTTTGTCATCTTCACATTGAATGGATTAAAGAAGAGGAAGAGGTCTTGCTGTCTCAAGGGTGGCAGAGGCAGAAGAAGTTCATGTATAAGTGGGTTCTTACAGTTCAAATCTGTGTTGTTGAATGGTCAACTGTAACCTTTAATCATACTCATTCAAAATCTTAAGTCAGATCCTCTGTTTCTTCTATGCCCTATATACGGTTTCCACTTAGACCAGCTACTTGTTCTCCCCAGAAGGTATATTCTATATGAATTTTGAAATAATTAAAAAAATTATAGTACTTAAGTTTACTACTCATAGTTTCATTTGCTTGTTATGCAATTTATTTTCTGTCCTAAACTAAGAGAAAAGACCTGTCATGATCTTGGGCATGTGCACATAATTTAATAAAAACCAAATTGAGAATAGATACTAGAATTTACTACAGAATCCGAATGCAAGAAGTATATGATTGTGTCGTGCCTGTTGCTATACTGTTACAACATTAAAATGTCTTTTATGAGATTAAAGATTGAAAACTGCTGTTTTATAGAAAGTAATCTAAAGACATAAGCTGGTGTCTTGTTAAGTATTTTTGAACTTTGGAAGTGGTTTTGAAGGTTTAGTTTACCAAGAGACTTTCTACAAAAAAAATGTAGGGCAAGTATTTTTTACTTTACCTAAAAATAACTTAAGATTATATACATTTACCAAATGATTAGCCATTTTGGTTATTTTTCAATGACTGCACTCACTATTCCTTGACTGCTTTTTGAATTGTATGATAAGGGCTTAAATAACTTAAAATAGACCCACTCATGCCTATGGAAGAGCATAAGAGATTAGAACCTGTACATTTGCAGCATCTTGTAAGCCACATTGCATTGTGTAGAATTGTCTAAATTCAACAGGGCATGTGCATCAATACATATGCTCTTATTTTCATTTGCTCAGCTCCACTATTTTAGAATGAATGTAGTGAAAGCTGTCTATGATTTTTAAAAAACTATTTATAGTTGGATTTTCTTTTACTTTTCAGTTTGCAGACAGTAGGTTGCATGCCTCCGCCTGTGTCTTCTGCAGTGATTTTAACCAAGGCAGTTGGTGGAAATGAGGTGAGTCATGGGGCTAACTTATTTAAACATAAGTGCATGCTGTGCTTTTATTTCAAAATTATATCATAGTTTTGAACATGAAGTGGTGATGTTGCAGAAAACTCCTAGCCATAGCAGCTTGTGAAAGAAGGGGACGTACTCAGATACTAGCAGGATGCTAAAATTGATTCTGATGGGTGGAATTCGGATTTCAAAGAAAAGAGCAAGGGAGACGAGTGACATAGAGATGGTGATTTTTCTTTTTTTTTTAATTTTTTATTAGATTTTAGGTTTTGGGGTACATGAGCAGAGCATGCAAGACAGTTGCGTAGGAACACACATGGCAGTGTGCTTTTCTTTCCTTCTCCCCTTCACCCACATTTGGCATTTCTCCCCAGGCTATCCCTCCCCACTTCCCCTTCCCACTGGCCCTCCCCTTTTTCCCCCAATAGACCCCAGTGTTTAGTACTCCCCTTTCTGTGTCCATGTGTTCTCATTTTTCATCACCCACCTATGAGTGAGAATATGCGGTGTTTCATTTTCTGTTCTTGTGTCAGTTTGCTGAGGATGACGTTCTCCAGATTCATCCATGTCCCTACAAACGACACAAACTCATCATTTCTGATTGCTGCATAATATTCCATGGTGTATATGTGCCACATTTTTCCAATCCAGTCTATTATCAATGGGCATTTGGGTTGATTCCAGGTCTTTGCTATTGTAAACAGTGCTGCAATGAACATTCGTGTACATGTGTCCTTATAGTAGAACGATTTATAGTCTTTTGGATATATACCCAGTAATGGATTGCCGGGTCAAATGGAATTTCTATTTCTAAGGCCTTGAGGAATCGCCACACTGTCTTCCACAATGGTTGAACTAATTTACACTCCCACCAACAGTGTAAAAGTGTTCCTTTTTCTCCACATCCTCTCCAGCATCTGTTGTCTCCAGATTTTGTAATGATCGCCATTCTAACTGGCGTGAGATGGTATCTCAATGTGGTTTTGATTTGCATCTCTCTGATGACCAGTGACGATGAGCATTTTTTCACATGATTGTTGGCCTCATATATGTCTTCTTTCGTAAAGTGTCTGTTCATATCCTTTGCCCACTTTTGAATGGGCTTGTTTGTTTTTTTCCTGTAAATCCGTTTGAGTTCTTTGTAAATTCTGGATATCAGCCCTTTGTCAGATGTGTAAACTGCAAAAATCTTTTCCCATTCTGTTGGTTGCCGATCCACTCTTGTGACTGTTTCTTTTGCCGTGCAGAAGCTGTGGAGTTTCGTTAGGTCCCATTTGTCTATTTTGGCTTTTGTTGCCAATGCTTTTGGTGTTTTGTTCATAAAGTCCTTGCCTACTCCTATGTCCTGGATAGTTTTGCCTAGATTTCCTTCTAGGGTTTTTATGGTGCCAGGTCTTATGTTTAAGTCTTTAATCCATCTGGAGCTAATTTTAGTGTAAGGTGTCAGGAAGGGGTCCAGTTTCTGCTTTCTGCACATGGCTAGCCAGTTTTCCCAACACCATTTGTTAAACAGGGAATCCTTTCCCCCTTGCTTGTTTTTGTCAGGTTTATCAAAGATTGTATAGTTGTAGATATGTTGTGTTGCCTCCGGTGCCTCTGTTTTGTTCCATTGGTCTATATCTCTGTTTTGGTACCAGTACCATGCTGTTTTGATTACTGTAGCCTTGTAGTATAGTTTGAAATCCAGTAGTGTGATGCCCCCCGCTGTGTTCTTTTTGCTTAGAATTGACTTGGCTATGCGGGCTCTCTTTTGGTTCCATATGAAGTTCATGGTGGTTTTTTCCAGTTCTGTGAAGAAAGTCAATGGTAGCTTGATGGGGATAGCGTTGATTCTGTAAATTACTTTGGGCAGCATAGCCATTTTCATGATATTAATTCTTCCTAACCATGAACATGGAATGTTTCTCCATCTGTTTGTGTCCTCTCTGATTTCGTTGAGCAGTGGTTTGTAGTTCTCCTTGAAGAGGTCTCTTACGTTCCTTGTGAGTTGTATTCCAAGGTATTTTATTCTTTTTGTAGCAATTGTGAATGGCAGTTCGCTCTTGATTTGGCTTTCTTTAAGTCTGTTATTGGTGTAGATGAATGCTTGTGATTTTTGCACGTTGATTTTATATCCTGAGACTTTGCTGAAGTTGCTTATCAGTTTCAGGAGTTTTTGGGCTGAGGTGATGGGGTCTTCTAGGTATACTATCATGTCGTCTGCAAATAGAGACAATTTGGCTTCCACCTTTCCTATTTGAATACCCTTTATTTCTTTTTCTTGCCTGATTGCTCTGGCTAGGACTTCCAGAACTATATTGAATAGGAGTGGTGAAAGAGGGCATCCTTGTCTAGTGCCAGATTTCAAAGGGAATGCTTCCAGTTTTTCCCCATTCAGTATGATATTGGCTGTTGGTTTGTCATAAATAGCTTTTATTACTTTGAGATACGTTCCATCGATACCGAGTTTCTTGAGGGTTTTTAGCATAAAGGGCTGTTGAATTTTGTCAAATGCCTTCTCTGCGTCAATTGAGATAATCATGTGGTTTTTGTTTTTGGTTCTGTTTATGTGGTGAATTACGTTGATAGACTTGCGTATGTTGAACCAGCCTTGCATCCCCGGGATGAATCCTACTTGATCATGGTGAATAAGTTTTTTGATTTGCTGTTGCATTCGGCTTGCCAATATTTTATTGAAGATTTTTGCATCTATGTTCATCATGGATATTGGCCTGAAGTTTTCTTTTCTTATTGGGTCTCTGCTGGGTTTTGGTATCAGGATGATGTTGGTCTCGTAAAATGATTTGGGAAGTATTCCCTCTTTTTGGATTGTTTGAAATAGTTTTAGAAGGAATGGTACCAGCTCCTCTTTGTGTGTCTGGTAGAATTCGGCTGTGAACCCATCTGGACCTGGGCTTTTTTTGTGTGGTAGGCTCTTAATTGCTGCCTCGACTTCTGACCTTGTTATTGGTCTATTCGTAGTTTCAGCTTCCTCCTGGTTTAGGCTTGGGAGGATGCAGGAGTCCAGGAATTTATCCATTTCTTCCAGGTTTACTAGTTTATGTGCATAGAGTTGTTTGTAATATTCTCTGATGATGGTTTGAATTTCTGTGGAATCTGTGGTGATTTCCCCTTTATCATTTTTTATTGCATCTATTTGGTTGTTCTCTCTTTTCTTTTTAATCAGTCTGGCTAGTGGTCTGTCTATTTTGTTGATCTTTTCAAAAAACCAGCTCTTGGATTTATTGATTTCTTTGAAGGGTTTTTCGTATCTCAATCTCCTTCAGTTCAGCTCTGATCTTAGTTATTTCTTGTCTTCTGCTGGGGTTTGAGTTTTTTGATCTTGCTCCTCTAGCTCTTTCAATTTTGACGATAGGGTGTCAATATTGGATCTCTCCATTCTCCTCATATGGACACTTATTGCTATATAATTTCCTCTAGAGACTGCTTTAAATGTGTCCCAGAGTTTCTGGCATGTTGTGTCTTCGTTCTCATTGGTTTCGAAGAACTTCTTTATTTCTGACTTCATTTCATTGTTTACCCAGTCAACATTCAAGAGCCAGTTGTTCAGTTTCCATGAAGCTGTGCGGTTCTGGGTTGGTTTCTGTATTCTGAGTTCTAACTTGATTGCACCATGGTCTGAGAGGCTGTTTGTTATGATTTCAGTTGTTTTGCATTTGTTGAGCAGTGCTTTACTTCCAATTATGTGGTCAATTTTAGAGTAGGTGTGATGTGGTGCTGAGAAGAATGTATATTCTGTGGATTTGGGGTGGAGAGTTCTGTAAATGTCTATCAGGTTTGCTTGTTCCAGGTCTGAGTTCAAGCCCTGGATATCTTTGTTGATTTTCTGTCTGGTTGATCTGTCTAATATTGACAGTGGAGTGTTAAAGTCTCCCACTATTATTGTGTGGGAGTCTAAGTCTCTTTGTAAGTCATTAAGAACTTGCCTTATGTATCTGGGTGCTCCTGCATTGGGTCCATATATGTTTAGGATCGTTAGCTCTTCTTGTTTTATCGATCCTTTTACCATTATTTAATGGCCTTCTTTGTCTCTTTTGATCTTTGTTGCTTTAAAGTCTATTTTATCAGAGATGAGAATTGCAGCTCCTGGTTTTTTTTGCTCTCCATTCGCTTGGTAAATCTTCCTCCATCCCTTTATTTTGAGCCTTTGTGTATCCTTGCATGTGAGATGGGTTCCCTGGATATAGCACACTGATGGGTTTTGGCTTTTTATCCAATTTGCCAGTCTGTGTCTTTTGATTGGTGCATTTAGTCCATTTACATTTAGGGTTAATATTGTTATGTGTGAATTTGATACTGCCATTTTGATGCTAAGTGGCTGTTTTGCCTGTTAGTTGTTGTAGAATCTTCATTATGTTGATGCTCTTTTACTTTTAGTGTGATTTTGGAATGGCTGGTACTGGTTGTTCGTTTCTATGTGTTGTGCCTCTTTTAGGAGCTCTTGTAAAGCAGGCCTGGTGGTGACAAAATCTCTGAGTACTTGCTTGTTCGCAAAGGATTTTATTTTTCCTTCACTTCTGTATCTCAGTTTAGCTGGATATGAAATTCTGGGTTGAAAGTTATTTTCTTTAAGAATGTTGAATATTGGCCCCCACTCTCTTCTGGCTTGTAGTGTTTCTGCCGAGAGATCTGCTGTGAGTCTGATGGGCTTCCCTTTGTGGGTAACTCGACCTTTCTCTCTGGCTGCCCTTAGTATTTTCTCCTTTATTTCAACCTTGTTGAATCTGATGATTATGTGCCTTGGGGTTGCCATTCTTGCGGAATATCTTTGTGGTGTTCTCTGTATTTCCTGCATTTGAGTGTTGGCCTGTCTTGCTAGGTGGGGGAAGTTTTCCTGGATGATGTCCTGAGGAGTATTTTCCAGCTTGGATTCATTCTCTTCGTCCCCTTCTGGTATACCTATCAAACGTAGGTTAGGTCTTTTCACATAGTCCCACATTTCTTGGAGACTTTGTTCATTCCTTTTTGCGCTTTTTTCTCTAATCTTGGTTTCTCGT